TGAGGAAAGTATTGTAATCAATCTAATCAGTGACTCGTAATGAGAACTCCATCTTGTTTCACTAGCACGTATTAAAGATATTTCTTGATTTAATCTTCATCCGGTGAATACCTCATCATTCTGTAATGCACTTAATATTAGCTCCCTTTGTATGTTCCTTAGCTGATCACGACGTTTACATGAAATACCGACAATATTCATAACGTTCGAAATAATAGTAAACAACAATGCAATTTGAACATGATTATTCACAACTGCTACTAAAGCTAATTAGAGCTGGTGTAAGAAATAGTGAATATAATGTGCAGACGCATTATCATTTAAGAAAAGTGCTTTAAGCTCGTTAAATTCTCCTCGCATATTGTTTGCACCATCATACCCTTGACAACAAATTTTAGAGGAAGACAAGCAATACTTTGTTCAACTCCTTTTTTAAAACATTTAGCTGACATTTCAGGAACATAAACAATACCCAAAAATGTTCAATAATTTGTCCTGTTTTATTCACATATCGTTAAACAATAGTTAGTTTTTCTTTCCCTGATATATCACGAGCTTCGTCAACAAGAATAGAGAAATAGCTATCACCAACTTCTTCTTTTATGCAGTTTGTAATTGCAATGCAAATAACTTTACAAATATTTTTCTGAATATCAGGACAGTTAATTTCAAATTATATGGAGCATTCTTTAATACAATATTACTTATATATTTATTATGTTTAACTAAAAATTCAAGTAGCTCAATAAAATTTTCTTGATTTTTAGAGCTGGAACTCTCATTATGCCATCGAAAAGCTAAACCTTGTCTTAGGAAGAACTCCACACAATCAATAAAAGAATTTAAGGGGACACGATATGCATTTGTTGCTCGATCTAATTGCTCCTGAAAGTCAAAGTTAATATGTTGATCTTATTTTATTAAATCCTCACAATTTTGCCTTGCTTTATTATGAGCACTGTTAGGTCCTCATATATGAAAATCAAATCAATCAGGTTTTTTTCAATTCGAGAATTCATTCTTGCTTTATATTTCTTAATACTATATTTTAACCAACTGAAGTATCTATCAAATCACCCTAGATTGAAACATCTATCTTTCATCCAAAACCTACTTTGAGGAAAGTCATGATTGAGAGGCTGACATAGTCATTTTTGCAAATATGATCTTCAAATTTGATCACAAATGTTAAAACTAAATTCAGAAATAGGTATGTGTAATTCAGGACCTGATTGAAGATTCTCTAGATATGTTATCTTTCTTTTTGATGATTAACCATATGTTTGATTTCTTTTTTTCTTTTTTTTGTTCATCATCCTTATTTTCTAAATCCACTATTAGTGTTGAGAAGCAAGATTGGAGGACTTTTTAAAATATTTCTCCATCTAACTACCTAAAACATAAAACAATGAACAAAATCTAATTTAGAAAACAAGAAAACTAAAAATTAAGCATGCAACAAACTACTTATTTTGTTTTATCCTAAACAAAAAAATACAAAACTATAAAGTATAAACAATGAACTAAATCTAATTTAGAAAAAATACAAAACTATAAAGTATGCACTGCCCAAAATGGCCAATCTGTGTACATGTATACTCTTTTTTTTTTTTTGGAGGGGGCACGTGCCCACTTGGGACCCCTCTTGTATCCACCTCCGTTTGTCGTTTCAGGCTGTAATGGTACCTGGTCTACTTGGTCAGAGGACATAATCGACCCAAGCTGACATAATGCATCTTATAAGCACCATGAGTTGCTTCATCCCAGAATACCTTATATACCTAGGGTGATGTATGTCCAAGGAATTTTTATTGCCTCAGGTTACTTGACGTAGAGATACATCAGGTAGCCTATAATATATCGCCACGTGCTCTTACTCTTTACCACGCGGCCCGACGACCCAACTCGGAACGACCTATGCTGTCACATTATCTAGATGAGATGCCCATATAATAATTTATATGGTCTAAAACACCTTAAAAAAAGAGAACAAACAATGTTAGCAAACAAAAAGGCGAAAAAGTGTTTTTTTCTAAGACATCTTAACAAACTTCAGATGAAATTGTCCATTCATGAGGGGTTTGTGAGGACTAATATCAATCTTTGATGACTCTTGACTCTAAAAGGGGGCCAAAATTGTCATTGTCACAACTTGTGAGCACTTCACCTCAAACCATTACAACATTACAGTAAAATCACTAATTTTTTGCAAACTTTTCCATTGGAAATTACTGAATTTCTAACCAAAATGGTGGTTTCTAGTGGAAAAAAAATAGCGATGAATCACACCTAGGAAAACAATTACCGGCGGAAAAAATCCTCCGAAAAATTTTCCGAAGGCAATTTATGCAGGAAATTGTTAGCAGAAATTGCCGTCAGAAAGTTCAAAAAAAAAACCAGCAAAAAAAATTTTTATTCAATTAAATTCTTCCTTTACTTTCTCTCCTCCTTTCCTACTTCACTCCACCAACCACACCCTACCAACCTACTACCCACCAACCAACCAGATAACCCGCTGCTGAATCCCCACTGGAAGACTGCAAAATCACCCGCTGCCCGCCCGTCGACCTACACAAACCTGCACCATGCCTGCTTGCCGACCCACACAAACTCACGACTTGCCTGCCTACCAACTTGCGCCTTGCTTGCCAGCCCGCCAACACGCGTCTTGCCCACCACGTCGACTCGCTTAAACCAACCCACCCTTGCACACGTCCAGCAACCATATTTTTTTATTTTATACAGCAAAATCAAGTTCTTTACAGGTAGTGCGGGACTAAATTTGACTTTGATATTGCCATAGAAGAGAGAGAGGGAAGGAGGTGAGTCGCGGGACAAAAAAAGACAAATCTTACTTAGATAATTAATTAAATTAAACTACTTAATTAGTTAATTTAAATGAGTTAATTAGTTTAATTAATTTAAATTTTTAATGAGTTAGTTTAAATTAGTTAATTAATTAATTAGTTGAGTTAATTAGTAATTTAAATTAGTTAATTCATTTTTAAGCTATAAATATATGATTATTTCCCATAAATTTTTAAAACTCGTTAGAAATCCGCCGTAAATCTATCAGAAATATTTCATCGAAAATCTATCGGAAATATTTCACCAAACATCCGTCGGTAATTTGTATTTCTCCTGTAGTGCAAGAGCTACAACAAAGCCTAAATTGCTCCCTTCTGTTAGGTTTGACATCATGTCTCCCCATTATCCCCATTGAAGTGGTACCTCACTAGGTTGACATCACATCTTATGCCAAGATCCCCAGTGAAGCCATTCTTGCTTGGCTTGTCATTGTTCCTCATATTGTGATCCCCAATGAAAGTATACATAATTAGGTTGACATTGTACTTTATGTAAATATCACTAGTAAGAAAAAAATTTTAAAAAAAAAATTAAAAAAAAAAGAGAAAAGATGAATAAAACTACAAAGGTCTCCTTACCAAGATGGAAAAACAATGTGATGTGATGGGGAGGACTCCAAAGTAATAAATAGACTCTCAAGGAATTCAATTTGATGCTAATCCAATTCTCAAGAAAATTTACCATATGATGCACAAAAATATAAGAGAATTCCTCACAAGAAACATTAATTTGATTACTAAGGATATATTTTGGTTGCAAACGGTTAGGTCAATTATATAATACCCTCTAAGCCTCATAACACAACAAGTCTTCCTAAATGCTTCACCTCAGAGAGCACCTTACTTTGCAATTCACTCCTAGATAAGAGGGATAATTAACTATTAGGCTTGCGCCTATAAAAATTATTGAACCACATATCAAAATAAACACTAACCTAGCATCAACGAAAATTTAGTTAGATACAAATTAAACCCACCTCTTGAGTTCTCAGAGAACTTTATTGAGCTATTATAATGCTATTAATACATTGCATTAATCCTTAAGTTCTTACATATATGCTACTCAATCAATTATCATAATCACAATTTTGATCTTAAATGAGTTGACTAATCCAGCTATCGGACAGCTTGAGGCCTGAAAGCTCAAGCTGACTATTATGTGTGAAATAGATAGCTGTTGAATCAATATGGTTTTTATGATCCAGGAACCTCAAAGCTATCATGTTTGTTGGAGGGGGGGGCTGGGGTGTTACTCCTGCTTGGGTCGGTGCAAATGAAAGAGGCTAAGTTCACAAGGGGAAAAAAAAAAATTCACACAATGCCCCGGCGCTGCGTACGCTAGTGCCCTAACGCTATGTTCCCGAGAGCCCCAGCGCTGAACGACAGAGAGCAGAGCACTGCAGTGGTATAGACACGGCACTGCAGCGGTGCAAGATAGAGGCTTGAGCGCCGCAACGCCTCAAACTAGCACAACAATGCTGTGAGATGGACTAGAAGATTTTCTTTCTCATTTTTCTAATGGGTTTCATCCCTTGGGGTTATTGTACTTGGCTTTCTCTTGTATCTTGAGCATGTAGACATTGAAAATAATGCATGTGAGAAAAGAAACAAGAAGAGAGTGAGATAGAAGAGAGATTTGTACTTATTTCTCCCAATTTTCATAGTAGATTTCTTGGTGTGGTGTGGCTTCATGATTTTTTCCCTATTTTGGATTATTCGACGTTAAATCCTGGTGTCATTTACTTTCCACTGCATTTATTTTCTTGCTTGTTTTGTCCTTGTGGTGTTTACTCCTCCGCATCTTCCCCAACACTAACCAACCCAAATATTGTCCAATTGTACTTAAAGGCCGCATTAGATCCATGAAAATGTTAAGGCTTCGTTTGGGATAGCTTTAAACCACTGTTTTTTTCCTGCTTTCAAGAAATTTTTGTATAAAAAAGCAGCTTTATAAAGCAGTGAAAAAGTCATCCCAAACGAAACCAAAAAGAAACAAGGCAGTATACTAAAATGCACTAATTGGGTGATTATTTTCACCATCCTTTTCCAGTATGATAATATTACTCCTTCCATGGTTTATGAATTCATGTAATGCATTGTGGAGCAAATCAAACTTATTAAGGATGCACTTACCCTAATCTGAGAGATGTATCTGAACTATCATCATTTTCACGTGAATTCCCTGAGTTAGATATATTAGTGATAGAGTCCGAAGACTGTCCCTCCTCATGCAAGACATTTTCTGACTCTGCAACAATTTGTTTTCCCATTTTTGACATTTCCACGACCTGCATTACAATAAACAAGTACAAAATTGTATAAATTCAAAACAGGAATGGAGTCTTAGGCTTCGTTTGGGACTGCTTCTTAAAACAGCTTTCGAGTACAAAAAATTTAACTTTTGTACTAAAAAACTGTTTTAAGAAGCAGAAAAAAGCGGTCCCAAACAAAACCTTGGAGTGACAGAAGACACCACCTGCTGTCGCAGACATCTATTTTCTTCCATCAATTGCAATCCCTGTAAGTAAATAGATTGTAGAAGAGAAAAATATTAAGAATGGATGAAGGTAATTAGAATAAGAGTTGACTGGTAAATTACATTCAGCTTCATGAAGTTAAATCCTGTTAAATCCCGAGAACTCTTAAGGAATGTTCGGCAACAAGTAGGATTTACTAAATCTTATTGGATTTTGCAAGTTCTAGCATCTTAAATGTTGAAAATTGTTTGGAATCATAATTGTTAAATCCTGATAAATTTTGTCAAACTATTTAGCGAAGTAATACAGGATTTAAGACGATTAGTTCATTCAAAAATTAAATTTCATGTGTTAAGTATGAATTATTTATTAATTTCAATGTTAAGTACCATCAATGTTATAATGACACATTTGAAATCTAATTATTTTGATCATTCTCTAATTAATTAATTACTTATTTTTTTGAAATAACTAATTATTTAACTAATAATCAGACTAATAATTTAATTAACTATTTAAGTATTATTTAGTTCATTTTAATTATTTTGAACCAGTAAGAAAACATATATTTCATCAAATTAACAGCTTCTACATCATTTAAAGTGATTAATCGACAAAAAAACCATTCTTTAATTGAACGTATTCCATCATTTAAGTAATGAATTTTAGTTCTTTCCCAACAGAAAATAATCAGTTGATGACTATTCAACAGATAACATGCACAAAATTTCCTCAGCACAAGAAAGCTTAAAACCTTTTTTCGTAGATCATTAATCTGCTCCATAATCTGTTCACCCTGAAGAAAATCAAGAATACAGTTTGTTTACAAGCATATTGAAATGTATACTCAGTATGGCAAGAAAGGCTTTAATGGCTTTTGGAAGAAATACTTTGTGCATTAACAGGAGAAAAAGCATTATTATCCATGTACCTTCCTGCGAAGAACACGACGTAATCCAGTTTCGAGAGTTTTCTCTAGTTGTTGCAGCTCTTCTATTGTTAAATCATGGAGGTCATCTCCTCTCATATTTCTGCAATATATACAGAAATTTAAGGTTGATTGAATTTTTTTTTTTTTTTTTTTGGTTTTTTGGTTGCTCAATTATTTTTAATCAAAAAGCATACCTCAGCTGGCGATTTGCTTCTTCCAGCTGCTTGCTCAGTCTTTCATAATCACTATTTTCCAACTTTAAAAAAGAAAAACCTTACCCTTCATAATAAATTCTTAAAATTTGTCGCAAATGGAACATTCCACTCATAAGAAAATTTCATGATATTGAAGAAGAATAGCAGACTAGAAATAAGGAACTAGCTAAACTTGGCCTGCATAAGCATTTTCTAAATATATCTCTGAAATTATATAAGCCTGAATAAGTATTAGTAGCTCATTATGCAGATTAAAAGGAATAGCAGAAAAATCTGTGATGAAAGAAAATAAAAGTAACTCTTCTAACTGTCACCAAGATGAAGATGAAAAGGTGATTGTTCCAACCTTATGGCTTCAAACTATTGTGCTCAGCATCATATTTTGATATTTACTACTTTCTGTCAAACTTTAATCTCTCTTAAATAATATATATATATTCGCTGCGAAAACAAACTTACCGGTTGAGCCAACAAAGGCAAGAAAACCTTCTGTTGCTCGGTCATTTCTTCAGGCAAGATAGAGTTTCGGTAATGCTGAGGTTGATACTCTTTTCCAAGTTGATTTACTAGCTATAATGCTTCTACGAAACCAGAGAAGCTTATATATTGACTTGTATTTTCTTAGAACTGATTTTCCAGACCTCTTCCCTTTATCCTTTCCACCTCATTTTAAAGATAGAAAAAATTCTAGTAATCTAACTAGTCACATGAAATACTTCACTAAATTAGTAAAGGACAAAAAAAAGTACAGTGCAGTTTATGAGCTTACATAAATACATGATATGGTACACTTGTTGTGTCAAATCCACAGTTTCATATTATGTCCAAGATTGGTTCATGATTGTCATTCAGGAAAAAGTGGAAACCTCACGACCACAGATAATCTTAAATGCAGCAATTAAAGCTGAACAGATATTTCTTTTTTAGACTCCCAGTATTCATCAACTCAGCTAATATTTTCTTTTGAGAAGCTCTACTCAGCCAACTTAAACAGCTCCAGCATTTAAAATGTGTCTTGCTTCTTGTTCATAAACTGTCTTATGTGTTCAATATGAGCAGAAACAATCCTGTCAGCTTTGGATACTTTCAGTCTGGGCACTTGCAATTGATTTCTTCATCAGGTCAGTACTTTTTTGCAGTACCAGTAGGACAGATCTGGTGGAGCTATTATGTAAAAATTTACATCCAAGGTTTATCTATATAATAACAATTATTTCTAACAGTTCTGACAATTTTCTCCAGTTCAAATTTTGTATTTTGTCTATATTAGTAGTACATATTATAATAAAATTTAAATTAGGCAATAGCTAATCTGGGATTCACTTGCAAATTTATTCACATATCATCAGAAGCACTGTTTCCAATGATACTGAACCTGGTCAAGCAAGATTATTAGCACCATAACAATATTATTGCTGCACTCAGCAGGCTTTCAGTTCTTCAGGAATCATTATGTGAACGGGGCAATGTATGATTTTATCCATTTTATGCTTCCAGCTGGACAGACCACTCAGCTAAGGGGATTCAGGGGATAAAGAAGTAAATCGATCGACCTAAGTTTTATCTATCACTTCGGTTTTTTTTTTTTTGGAACGACTTTTTTACTGATTCTAAAAGCAACTTTTTAGTACAAAAAATAAAATTTTTATACAAAAAAGATGCTTTGAGAAGCAATAAGAAAGAGCCTTAGATTAAGGCTCCAACTGCACTAAATAAGGCTAAGATACACAAACATTTAAAAATACGAGAGTATGCCAAGGTAGACATGCAACAGACACAAAGGTCTACAGGGAAAAGGATCTCCAAATAAGATTTAATTGCTCTCATGCAATATGCTGAATGTAACATTCTTTGTCAACGATGAGTGTACAAATCCTAAAGCCAATTTGATGAGGACATCAACAGGAGATTTTGGCGCGTTTATCAGAGGAGGCATCGGAGAAAGACAGCCACGATCAGGAGCCTTTATTTTTAATGCATTTTATGTATTGTTTATTTTATATTTCATTTTTTCCTATTTTACCCCTATGGGTAGCTAGCTTGATGTTGTAGCCCTGAGGGCACTTTAGTCCTTTTCTTTTATCATGTTAAGGCCTATATATAAGAGCCCCCACTATTGTATTTGAGATGATCATGATTTTTTATGAATAAAAATTTCAGCTTTTGTCTTCTTCAATGTTGTGAGCTTTGAGAGAAGAAAGAGAACCCTAGGTGAGGGTGATTGCAATACCCGTTAGAAGAGTCCAAGACTCTCAGTTTATCGATACCCTCCTCTCCTTACATCTGACCACCCTCTCAACTGTCTAAACCCGCCGGCTCCCTCTCCAACACCTCCCCCACCCGCCGGTTTCATCCCTTCCCCTCCCCTTCAAAGCCGACAACCCCTTCCCCATTCCAACCAAGACCACACATCCCCACCACCGCAAGCCGCCGGTCTTTCCTGTTATTCCTAGCCACCGGCCTCCCAAAGACATTCTAGCCGCCGACCAAATAGTCCCCACAAAGCTTGACTTCAAATTAAATTTTCCTCTTAATCACCTTCCTAAAATATCCTATTATTGATTAGGAAAGTTTCTCATTTGAATTCAAATATATATTTGAATTTCAAACTCTTTCCTTCTTGATAAATCTAATTTAGAAAATACTCATAATTATCTCAAATCGATCTGAAATTAAATCTTAGATTTGATTTCAATCACTAATTAAAGTAAATGGCCCACATACATTGAAACTAGACACGCTCTCTCCCTTCTCATATGGCCGGCCCCTCCTTTGCCTTCTTTCTCTCTCCAATTTAATCCTTAACCCCTAATTAAATTCCATATAAGTTCTCCTAAGCCGCCGTCCCCCTCTAGCCCTATTTTGGAATAATTTTGAATTTCAAATTATTCCTTTCCCTTCCTTTGAAAATATGAAATTAAATTTCATATTTTCTAAATTATTTCCTTCCACCTCTCTAGCCCAAAATCCAAGAATCTTACACCTAGAACCCTAGCTGTCCCCCCCTCCCTTCCTCCTTCACAAGCCACCGGCCCTCAAGGATCCCCAAGAAAGGAATTTCCTTTATCCATGGATGGCCTATCCTCAAGTAGACCATGACTTCTCATACGATTCTCATGGGCAGATAGATATTCTTCAGTCGCCGTTCTTTGACCCTGATTGTGAGGTAGAAGACACAGTCGACGATTACGTCGACCGTATACTATTCCACTTAGCTGAGACTATTGACGAACAACTACCCTCCGGACAGTGGCAACTCGTCAGACATCCACCCGTGTCTCCCCCTCCATCTACCTTCTCGTGGATCAAGACCTTTGAAGTCCTATCTCATTTTGTGGCATCGTTTTGATTGCTGAGATTCTCTCTCCGTTAAAACTTTTTATAGAGCGTGAGTGATGGGAAACTCAAGGTAAATGCTCTAAATATTCCGTGAATTTTTATTACGTCATAACTAATTTTACTGTACTTTTCTGATTTTATTTTAGTGTTTTGTTCTCCTAGCTTGTAATTGCATGCCAAATCAAACTTCAATTGAAATTTCTTAAAGTTAATTCTTGTGATACATTAACCTTAAAGTGGCAAGCTTTACAATATTTTATCAATTCCTTGTAATTCCTGTTTGTATCACATCACAATTTGTCTAGAAGATCACAATCTTCTTGCATCAAAATTTTTGACCCAAAGAGAGGCATATATAACTTTCATTGGCATAGGTGATCATCGATATGAATCTTTAATACCCGATTTCCATTCCATCGAACCAGTCAATCCTCCTATTCCCACTTTTATACACAATTACAGAACCATTTTAAGATTCCAAAGCTATACTGCCTTCGAAAGATGTATGCTTTAGAGCAAATATGAAAAAAAAAAAAGGGGGAAATAATGTTCAAGGACACCACCAAAAAAAGAACAGAGACTTTACATGCTTCAGTGAGATCCACTAATGTTAATGGTGATGCAGAGAGATAAATATCTACTTATCCAAAGACAAATGCATAATATAAATATTTGGTAAACCAAATATTTTCTTAAATTTATCTCACTAATATTCTTCTCTCTTCATCTCTTTTCTTTTCTCTCCAAACCCAAGCGTGATTCCTTTTATAAGTTATGCACATCAGATAAGTAGAAAAATAGGACAAATCCTATGTTGAACCACATTATTAATCATCATCCTTAACAATAGTCAATAATTTCCTACTTCGAATGTTCCTAGCTTCCAACCATCACCTGACACGTAAAGGCTATGTATGCACATCAGATAGTCAATAATGTCCTTTTTTTATTATCCCGTTGTAACTAGATTGGATCATTGGCTCGTTAGGATTTTTTTTTCTTTTCTGCTTTTGGATGTATTTCTTTTCTGTTTTAGAGAGCATTTGATCCTCTAAGATCTTGTAATCACCTTTTTTCAATTAGCATGTAGGCCCCTCCGAGAGTTTCCCCCAAAAAAGATTTTTACATCTGGTTTGCTTGGAATAATCTAAGTTAAAAACCAAAATAAGTATGTGCATCAACTTAAAAGCAGGTCATTTGCCTAGTAGTTCACACCTTAGCTTCCAATCATGAGGTCATGAGTTTTACAACCCATACTTCTCACACTATTGCCCCCTTTTTAGAAAAGGATCAACCATGCATTCCATTTAACTATTGAATCAAGGATTTTCTCCCTCGGTGACTCTTAACGAAATTTGTATTTGGCGTTGTACTCAATGTATATAACATATGGCATAGAATTCTATTATTTACAAACAATGTCATCAACTTGTTGCATCATGACCTCTCCTCCCAATTTACATCAACAAGAGCATTCTATTGACACAATAAAAAGCAATTTACTTATGTATCAGTTATGTTCATAGTTCAAGAGGCTAGATGTCACAAGCCCGAACTCTAATTTATCAATATATCGTTCACGTTGGCCCAATAAACATTACAGTTTTATACCCTCGGTGTAGCTTCGCAATAATATCACCCATGTTAGAGTGCTCCATCATAAGTGCTCCATCATAAGCATATCTAACATTAAAGTCCTTGATAGAAGTCCAAACATTATACCAAGAATCATTTTGAGTCCTATTTCAAAGTACTTTAAGAGATGTTAAACCAAATGTTTCTTTATCCATAGGAAGGTCACAAAAATAAAAAAATAAAAGAACACTCTATAATTGATAAAATAAATTACAAAAAAATATGCAACAAAATAAGCTATTATTAATCTTACAAAATAAAGGAATCTACTCAAAATTACTTAAAGGTGTTGAGGAAATAGTCTACTTGTAAATCATTTGATGGTTGGTCTTGTTTGGATAGGTTCCTTGACTGCGTGTTCTGCTTTTCGATTATCTGCTTCATACTTTAAAGGAGAGAATTAAAAAAAAAAAATCAGAACATTTTAAACATAACTGTCTTGTGATCAGTTGGTAGATAAAGTACTGACAGATAATTGAAGAGAGAACTTCCAAGAAAAAAAAAAAAAACAAGAATATTTCAGAGAAAGAACTAATCAATTTAAGCCTGGTCAGAAAAGGTTAAAAAGCAAGGTAATATGTTTCTCTAAAGATGTAAGTAGAATAAATATATAAATAAATAAAACCAAATTATTATGTTGTTGTGCATCGCTCGAATTGAAAAAAAAAAGTGACAAAAAGCCAAGTTAAAAATTAAAAAAAAATATATGAAAAAACGGAGACTGAGAAGGTGCTGTGATTAAATGAAAACTCAAGGTCATATAATTCTACAGAGAGCCTAAGTACTATTGAATACCCAAAGATTGTTTCTTTTTGCAACATGGATTGCACAAAAGAACAAGAAAGATAGTAATAAGGAAAAATGATACTGTTCCTTCAAAAACTGAGAAAGAACAATAAATTGTCAGCTATTAGTAGTGAAGCAAGGCTAGAGATGCCATGGATGAGTAAGAGATTTAGCTGGGCTAAGAAAAAGTTGCCAACCGCTAACAGAACTTAGACATTAGATTTGTAGGATCTGTGGAAGATAGTTTTGATCAATACAGCACTTTAGGATTATTCCCAAGATGACCTTGCATATAAAAGCTAGATGGTAATCCCAGTATTTAGTTGCATGAGGCTTTCAAGATTCATGAAATAGTGCGATCTCAAAAAATTGTGCCACAAAAACCTTGGATCACATGCAATTATATTGCTAGAAAATATATATATGATTTAGGCTTCGTTTGAGACGGCTTTCTTACTGCTTCGTAAAGCAGCTTTTTGGTATAAAATTTAATTTTTTGTACCAAAAAACTGCTTTAAGAACCAGTAAGAAAGCCGTCCCAAATGAAGCTTTAGGTTATCTCAAGTATTGACACCAAAACATTGTGCTCTCAGCTTTCTCCTATGATTGTGACCGATATATATATAAGAGAAGGTAATTTTCTTGAGGTTTAAAGCATTATGATATTTGAGAACTTCCTTGTTCCTTACATAAGTCCCTCACCGACAAGGATTCTTGGAGAATTTGGGAGCCTTGATGATACATATAAGAAAGAAAACTAATTTGGGCAAGCATGCAAAAAGGTATGCGAATAAAGTCGCATCTAAATCAATTAAGTTCAATTATTCTTGATTTGAAAAATGTTGTTGTTGTGTGGATGACGAGGATAATAAGACTTTATAACTGTTATAACATCCCTTTATAATTAATTTTTGACGCCATGCCAAACTAAAGAGATAACCATAAGCTCAGTTGAAGTGAAGTATTCATTTTGTCTAGAGATGTAATTTATAAGTTCATCGGTGTTTACTTTTGAGGGAGGGGAGGGTTGATAAAAGGTCAACCTCATAAGACATAGTGAATAAAGTGTACTTGACTAAGCATGCTTTTTTCATGCACCATGAATAGTTGTTATTTCCTAAACTTTAGACAAAATAATGAAGATAGTCACATGGGTATATGGGAAATAATGGTGTGCATATATATATATATATATATATAAGGCACCATTTGTATTAGGTCACATGACGACGTATTTATGATTTTGACTGAGGTGAGATATGCTTGCTTTGAGAATGAATCTTGTATATTTACGCGCTCTAAGTGAGGGTACAAATTTTCCAAGGATAGTAAAATCCCCAAAGTTTTTTAGAGTTTTATGATTGTCATGAAGGCTAGGAGAGATAGTGCACTAAATTTATCACAAGATGCAACATCAAAAGTTGCTTCAATTATTTCATTTCCTACATTGAAACAATGTATCTTGGCCCCTTGGGATAGCAAATGAGAGTAGGCTTCCAAATTGTAGAAAAAGTTCAAGAACAATCTAGACACAAGATGACGAGACGTATTTAAATGGTCAAATTGATCATGTTTGTATTTAATAGTCTATTCAAGAATTAGGTTTTACCATTATAATATTCAAAGAGATAACATCACTTTAATCACGACGGTAACTGAGGAAAGTTATCTTTTTGTGGTGGATTTGTCCACCGCAAAATAAGGAAGATCCTTCGCAAGATATAATATGCGGCCAAATATACTCCAACGTAAAAAATGACGTCTTAAAATTATTTGCGGCGCAAAAAATCTGCCGCAAATATTTCCTGTGGTTTTTTGGCAGAATTTCAACACAAAAAAAAAACCACAAATTCTGCCCAACTACTAGGCAGGCTGCCATGCTTGACCGGACTACATGTTTCTTGAGCCTGACCGGACATCCCGTTGCCGACGCCTGACCATACTACCCATGCCTAACCGGTTGCCTAAGCTATCTCCCGCCTGACCGGCCTGCCCAAGCGCTGCTCCATTTGTCAAAAACAATTGCCATTCTCCACTCAATCGCAGAGACAAAACAACATAAAAAGCTTTTTTTATTTATATTATAACTTAGCTTGCAAAGACAATTTCCGCTGAAAATATGCGGCAGAATTTTCACCACAAGTCCGCTGAAACTCCATCGCAAACAATATGCCGCAAATTCATTGACATTTTTGACAAAAAAAATAATCCGCCGTAAAGTCTGCCGCAAATCTGTCACAAAATACTAACTTTCTTGTAGTGAATGGTGTAGGAAATTAGTGGAACATGTGCTTTTTAGGTTTAAATTAACGCTTTAGATTGTAACATTTGTACTAGTGAAGTATCTTATAAGTACTGATATTAGGCACACTTGGACTTTGATGAGAATATTGCACAATGTTGAGCTCTTTGAGGCTTTTGGATCTTAGAGAGCTTGCCTAAAGAGGAGTCATAGAGGATATCTAGTTTGGCCACAACATCTAGAAAATGAGAGAATAATTTATTAACTCAGTATTTTAATATTATTATGAAATGCCCTTTCATATAAGCAAAATATCTTATTATTTTTTCATTGGCCTTTGGATAATTGGGAACCACACAATTAAAGTGATCTCTGGATTGATGTCCAAGCCATGTGCTACTGGATTTCTAGACTAAATGGTGTATGAAAGAAAAAAGAAAGATTAATTAGGTGATGTAGTTTCTTTGTTGTGACATTTTGAAAGTTAGCAATGTCCATTGCCAAAGTCTAGCCCACTAAAGTTTTCAAATTAAATATTAAAATGTTAAGAAGAACCAAATTTTCAACAAGTTTGGAAAGGTATAAGAATATTGTCATAGCAAGGTTTTTTTTTTTTAAACTTCTAAACAATGAAGAAATTCAAAACTTTAAAGTTCATTCTAATGCCTATGCTCACTTAGGCTTTGTTTTGGGCGACTTTTTTAGTGCTTCTTAAAGCAACTTTCTAATACAAAAATTAAAATTTTTGTACTAAAAAACTGTTTTAATAAGCGATAAAAAAGCCGTCTCGAATGAAACCTTAGGCTACTGGATCATGACATGATAAGATTTTTCAGGAATAAAAATATTAGTGAAGGCAAAAACAGACCTTTTAAACTTCTAAACATCATGTAAAATAGACCATTGTTTGAATACAGTCACACACGAAAAAGGGTATTAAATTATCTTGAATTATTAATAATTATTTTAATATCCTCTTACAGCTCCCATTTAATGTATTTTTTCCTTATACCAACTTGTCAAAAATAATAATATAATAAATACAATGATGATGCTTAAAGGATCCATAAAACCAAAATCCTAAATAATCCCCCCATAAAAGCTATTCATATCGAACATCAACGCCGCTCAAATAGAAGTTTCATCAAGCATTATGCACCACTCAACTATGTTGTACGATTCATTCACTCCTAAAAATTCTTCTATCATGTTTAGGTCAACCAAAAGATTCATAAGAGTCATAAATTATATAAACCACCTCATGCCAACTAAACCATCTGCTAGGATAAAACTTATCAAATTGTAAAATAAGTTAGCCAAAAATAAGCTAAATGTACCTATGGTCAATTTTTTTTTGAAGGATTGGGTAAGCCCAATCTACTCGATATGCAGTGGGGCCAAATCCAATACTCTCATATAACTTAATAGATACATTGGATAGATGAAGTCATGGGTTTTCATCATACCATGAGTCTCAATTTATATTATTTAAAAACCCCCAACTAAATCTTTATTGCGCATCATGCTTGCATTGTTTCGCAAGTTATGATCGATTTCGGTGTTATTTAAAAGAGCTTCATCTGATATTTTAAAATTGCATGCAATTGCGAGAACTCTATTGGAACTATATTTTGGCTAGTAATTTGGATGTTTCGAAGATGTGGGATATGGAATCAGTGGATTAAGGCATTGTTTGGGACGATATTCTTATGGTTTCTTAAATCAACTTTTTAGTATAAAATTTTAAAATTAATATACTAAAATGCTGCTTTTAGAAGCGGTAAGGAAGCCGTCCCAAACGAAGCCTAAGATGAACAATAATCGTATGAAAAGGAATTTCATAATGTTGAGATGAACAAATAGTAGATTAAGGAAAAAAAATATTTTGGTCAGTAGGGAAAACAATCAGTAGGATCTCCAATGAAAATGTTAAGATGACAATTAGTAGATTAAGGAAAAATATATTTAAAATGATTATAATACAAGATGGTAGGTTTTACAGCTAATGAAAATGAATTATTGATATATAAACTTAAATGGTATGAACATATTCAATGAAGAGAGAAAATACACCAATAAAATTAATATAAAAAACTAATTTTGGAAGAATTAAGAAACAAAAGTGAAGCCAATAAATGATATGACCAAAAAATAATTTAAAAAGATTATAATAAATTTAAATATATTTAAAACTTATATAACACTCAACATGAATGAGTAGAGAATGATCCCTCATTACTTAATTTGAAGCCAAAGAGTAGAGAAAATACTAATCATGATGATCTATATGTATGACGTACATCTGATTTCTCACCTCTCTGTCTAAACCTTTGGTGAAAATCACCCATGGGTGTTGG